GCTGTGACATCACTCCACAAAAAAAAAAAAAAGATGGAGAAGATGCAGTGGGTAACAAAGGTTGTGAAAGCTAAATCACCAGTAAAAAAAAAAAAAAATCACCAGTACTTCCTAAAATCGTGCCCGTTAACAAGCCATGATTTTAGGAAACGTACGGGCCACTACAGGAGTGCCCAAATTCATCCCACTAGAAACGTTTCCACTCTATTTTTTTGCGCTGCCGACAGCCGGGCCAAGTACTGGTGGTTTAAACTGCCAGTACACGGCCCCAGCCTTGCAGTCCGAAACTTCGTCGCCACAAGAAAACGAGGCCGAACATCAACCGTAGGGCCTGCCCGTTGATAAATAGTATCAGCGGTCCCTTTTTAGTTTCACGCTTCCAAGATTCGAGGTGTCAGGCCCGCGGCGTCCCAGGTAGCCGTGTACTGGTGCTTTAATAAGAGAACATAATTTTGAAAGGCAGGGATCATCCACTGCAACTCATAGGGCGTCGCCGCACGAAACGAAAAACGAAACGAGTGCATCTTCGAGCAGAAAATGGCCAGGTTTGTCAGTTTGCTATACATAGTAACGACTGTATTTTTCCACCTTTCGTGCGCAGATGCACTCGTTTCGTTTTCGTTTCGTGTGCCGTGCGATGAGGCCCTAAAGCTAAACCACCAGTCCGTTTGCCAATCATTTTTACTCCGAACCGGCGTGCATGCGGCTGTGGGTGTCAGCCTAGTGGAGCAAAATGGTTGGCGGCAGCACCCAAACGAAGGCCCACGCCGGTTCGTCTTTCTCCACACGAGTGGCTGATTCCAAGCTCGCCAAGGGAAGGGTCAAAAGTACTGCCTTCTTTACCCGAGTACAACGCACGGTTATCATTATAGCTGTATTTGGGGTATCTTTCTGTCTGAATACAGAAATAATGACCGTATGTTGTATTCAGGTGAAGAAGGTGGCGGTTAAACTTATGTGGAGGGAGGGTTCCGAAATGGGAGAATATCTGGATATGGGAGTTTGCCGTCGTATGAACCAGGCCGGTGTGCCTGGATCATACGACACGGGCTGCCCTAACCAAAAAAAAACAAAAAACAAAAAGGATGTTCGCAATTTAGTCTATTATTTAGACCGATTAATCCGACGCATTCAGAACAGTTCAAGGTGGGAAGTAAAAAGACCACGAAGCTGCTCGCCTTTCTGTTGATGATCTCAGCCCCAGGTGGACAGAGCTGAACAGGAGTGCTGTGAGAACGAAAGGGAAAGGAGAACCCTTTGCAGAGCAGAAAAAAAGGTAAAATGGACTTAGTGGCTGTGATGATATTGCATTGTGGAGGATGCCGTCCTCCGGCCAAAGCTGATACATGATGTGTCGAAAAAAAAAAAAAA